TCTGCATTTAACCCATCCAAGTGCACACACACAGCAGTGAGTAGTGAACAAACACGCACACACACACACCGTGAACAAACACCCAGAGCAGTGGGTATTGAGGGTGGAGTGAGTGCTGGATATCACTCCCCACACCTACAATCCCTGCCTCGACTCGAACCCGCGACCTTTGGGTTACAAGTCCGACTCTCTATCCATTAGGCCATGACTGCCCCATAAAACCTATTTTATTAAATAAATAAAGATGAAAGAGATCCACACTCGTCCACATTCAGCCAAAAGGGCTTATTATATTTAATGCTCAGAGCTCACAAAAATATGTGCAAAAAAATTGCAAATGTGCAAAGGTGCAGAGCGTTTTCGGGTATTAACCCTTCCTTAGTGCCTACGCACCTTATGTTAGTTGCCTACTGGATTTTTTAGTGTTTGGCGCTACAACCTTTTCTAAGTGTGAATTAAATAAATAAATAAATGCATACATTTATCATCAAGTTCTGTACTACTTATGTAGTAAGACTTATGAAACACTCAACATTAAAACTAAAACACTAATACTCATGTTTGTTAAGAACTTCTGTAATTCTGCCATCCTTATATTAAAAGACAAAAACATCTTTAGATTCAAATATGAAACCCATTACCTCATGAAAGACCTCTGCACTCTTTCTCCACCTCCTCTCCAGCGCCACAGGGAGTTCAGATCACCGCAAGCCTCTAAACTACACTATCCCGACTTCATGAGGTCAAACCCAAGCCTCCCATGGTGCAGAGTAGGTGTAATTTTCTGACCTTAGCATGTGTGCGCTTAGCATTAGCATACTCTTCCTTGAATTCAGGGGTGGTTCTAGGGTCAGTGAATATTTCGGGGTTTCGCCTAGACCTCAGTGAATGTGCATGGGTACATCTTTTCATAAAATATAAAAAAAATCATACTTTAATGCACTGGTAACACTGGTAACTGTTTGATCATTCTGTGTATTTATGTATGTGAAACAGTATGTGCTTACTTCAGTGATGGGAGTGATGGGCAAACTTGGCCCTTCCAGGCCACTTTCCTGCAGAGATTTGTTCCAACCCTGATATGACTCACCTGCCTGTAGCCTTCTAGTAGTCTTGAAGACCATGATTAGCTGGTTCAGGTGTGTTTGATTAGGGTTGGAGCTAACCTCTGAAGGAAAGTGGCCTGGAAG